CTTGAGGAGTACCCCAAAGGGATGCGCACGGTTATCCGTGACAGAGGCGGTGAGCTCATGACGAACTGCAATACAGACTCCTCTCCAGCTTTCAGCGGTGTCTAAGCAGTACGCAGTGTAGGACTGTTTACCTATGGCAAACGGCAGTGCTTGCACATCTTTAATTCCATTGAGGCCTCCAACTTCCTGCAAACACAGAACATCAGGAGGATCCACGTTCCCGTGGATAACATTATCAATGTGCGTAAGGGACTTTCCATGCAAATTCCAATGCAGAACAGAAAGGTCATGAAAGGCTCGACGATTTGGCCTGCGGTGCTGCCGAGGTGCCGCAGGAGTAGCCGGTCTGGGTTCCCTGCCAATTTCCTATGGGCCTCCTGCTGTGCGAGACAACGCATCATGCACTTGTTGTGCCGAAACACCCAAGACCTGGGCAGCCTTAGCGACGTGCACAAACCACCCACTATGATCACCTCGAGTCGTGGTGTGAAGGAATGCTCCCTCGGGAGGAGGTGGGCCTGCGTATCCCAAGATGTTGACCCCATCCGCGAAAACCTTACCCCGCCAATCGTGCTCAACGTCAGCTTGGGGCCTCAAAGAGAGCAGGGCTTCTTTCGTTGACAGGATTGCACGAAGTTTCGCGCGTTCCTCTGGACTACGGTTACGAGTAAACCATACCTTTCGACCTTCTTGCCCGCGGATGTTCGTAACAGGCAGTTGCTCTTTAAGGGCGTTGATGACTTTGGTCTGAAAGGTCCGTTTATCCCCTAGGGAGGTGCCCGACGGATAGTTCAGTTCGATGCGTGCAAAGGAACTTCGTGCGTAAGGTATGATGATGTCCTGCACCAAGTTGGACCCTCCTGCCGCAGTGAAAGCCTGACTCAGTTCATGTTCTATATCATGTCTCTTAGCATCTTGCCAGCCTCCACATGCAATCTGGAGGTCATCCCAGCGAGGATCTTGTCGGGGTGAGACCGGAGCGGATGGACCACCCGGAGCCGCATACCCACTAGGTGCTGGGGACACAGACCGAGAACGTAAGGCCTGAATTTCTTGTCGAAGTTCCTTGATTTCCCTAGTATGATCATTCGCGATGGCTTCAACTGCTTCAATTCTAGGCACCGCGTCCGACACCTTATGCTGAACTAAGGCAATTTCGCGGGAGTAACTATCAGCTACCTCCAGAAGCTGACTCTGTTTGTCCTTGAGTTCCTGTATGCTGGACTTAAGAGAAGGGAGCCAGGCTGGTTCATCGAGGTCGTAGTGTTCAGGTGCCCGTGCATTTCGAGGGGCCTCTTGCTGCTGATAGCCCCCGGCAAAAACGGGGGGTGCATGTAAAGGAGCGTTCCTACCAAAGGCGGGGGATCGGTCCTTCCCATCCCCTTCATGCATGTTGGCACTCCCCAGATCAGGCATGCGTGGCTTCGGAATGTCATGCTGATTAAATTCTGAATTCCCTCCGAATTCTGAAAAATCAGCCCCTTTTCCCTCAGAAACTGTCTGCAATTGAGCGACGGCCAACGGCATCTTGTTGACGTCCTTGTCCCCTCTAGGATCCACTTTGACCCCGTTGGGGTCAATCGTCCACGGCTGAGTCTCTCGTTGGCTGAGCGGCAGCTCGTCGGGTCTTTGATTAGGGGGGGCCGCTTGAGGACTATCGGCTGTATCATTCCCTGGGTGCATGAGTTCATCATCAATGGTACTCTCGTGCTTCTTGGGTTTCTTAGAAGGGCTCTCCCCACGCTTGGCGGCTACAGGACCAGGGAGGCGGTTTAGTTCATCGCCCTCATCATCGGTGTCAAGGGTCCCGGGGGGCTTGAACCTTTCAGGAATCGGGCATCCCAACGCAGCGTCAAGAGCAGCCTGGGCATCTGAGTTCAACGAAGTAGGGGCAACTTTGCTCTTGACCCCGCCCACGCGCTCGGAGAGAGCTGCCAGAGCCCCCGACATACAGCACAACAGCACCTAGCTCAGGAACCCGCCGAGAGCTGTTTCCTCGGATCTCGAGCCGAAATCTTGAGCCCGTAGCCATTTGCGATCTCGCCCTTCCTGCCACTGTCACGAACTCTGAGTTGTTGGCCTCCCCCGTCCAAGCTGTCAGGTAGTCGCTGTGAAGCTTGGCTGTGGCGAGGTGGGGGTCGTTGGTGAAGACGTCTGTCCCCCTCTGCACGGTAAAGTCGAAGGTCACGGTCTTGCAGGCACTAGTTCCCCCTCAAGGACAAAGTGCTGCGAACTTGCCCGTCACGGTTATGGCTGGCACCCTCCAAGCAAGCCTGGAGCAACGCGGCAGCGGATATGCTTGCTCAAGCACCGCTGGGGTAAGCAACGGAAGTTCCCCTGAGGTGACAGCCTCAGGTTAACCCCGTGCTTCCCCCCCGATGCAGGGCGGCGAAACAGACCACCCCACAAAGGTGCAGTACTTGAGCCAAAATGGTGACGACAAACTCTCTCTCTCTCTCTCTCTCTCTCTCTCTGTCCTTCCCCAGGCTTGAGGGCACGCCCTTGCGGGAGTAGCCTGTGCTGTTGTAGGGGCGCATGGTATTACATGCGACAAAGGTCGGGCACTCCACAGCCTCTTGCTTGCTTGCTTGCTAAGGGGTGTGGGTGCATGCAGGCACGCACCCTGGCCCGAGGGCCTACCCCCCCTGGCGCGGAAAGGCCTCCAGGTCCCTTCCGGGGTTGAGGGGTTGACACATTCCCGCGAGTGTACCTTTTCCCCCCAACCAGACCTAAACTCACCAACAAGACCCCGATGGTCCCACTCGCGTCGTCCGTGGCTCCTCCAAGTCAAACTACCAGCATGCGCAGGGGCGATTGCTCTTCTAAGCGGAAAACAGGATCCTTAAAAGCCATACACTACAGAAACCTAGCACCGCTTTCAGCAAGGATCGCGCAAGGTTCACTCCAAGCAACTACTCAAGACTCAAACATGACCTGAGGCAGCAAAACGCAATTTGGAAACAAGGTTTGCAGACTAGGCTCCAACCCCCCTGATGAAAACATAAAATTGTGTTGGTCTGAGCCCCGACGGAAAAATAGGAGTAGGAGCTCGGGCGTCTTTCTACGCTTTGAGCCCCCACCAAGGAGGAGTTGTAGAAAAGATTAGCTTTGGTGTAGTTCTGCCTTTAGCGTCTTTCTACGCATCAGACAGAAACTGTTGGAGGGAGCGTCTCTCTACGCCCCGTGGATTGAAAGGAAAGGTAATCCTGCCCTCGGCGTCTCTCTACGCTTCGGACAGAAAAGTGTGGAAAGGAACGTCTCTCTACGTCCCTCGGAGTCAAAAGGAAAGAGAGGAGTGATTGGAGAGCAAAGTCCCCGGTGCTCAGAGTTCAAACCTAGAGCTTTATCCCTCAAGGTCGCAAAGCCGCAGAAATTTTTTGCAGACTGTCCCAGCTAAGCTGCTACCCAGTGAAGCAGGTTACGACCTCAACGGTAAAGGCTGTGCACTGTTCAGAAAGGGCTCGGATTCGGAGTGCGCTTAATTGGGTGTTTCACCAGTCTCAGTGGGGCTCGTGCTGGTCCCGTCTCAGCTTCCATCGGCGTAGTCATGGTTCTTATTCACGGTCGGGTTGCCAAGTCACGGACTCTGAGGTCAGGTAGCCGTCGGTCGCGGTACTCCCTCGGGTGAATCAGCGGGCTGAGCGTGATCGTGAGTAGGCTCGCCGAAGCCCTAGCGGTAGTTGGTGGCAAAGTCCCTCACACGCCCCGTGCCGATCCCCTCGAGCTCCGTGCGAGCGAGTACGGGGGCGATGTGCAGGAAGTCGTGTAGAACAACAAACAGGTAGGTGATCTTGAATGGCGGCGCGCGTCCGCAGGCTATTGCCGGTAGCGGGATGTCACACCTGAGTGAGTACCTTTGTTCCCCGCAGGTTGAGGTGCCCGGACACGGGCTGGCACCTTGAGCACTCGTGGCTTGAGCCAAAAGCCTCTCTCTCTCTCTTCTTCTGCAGGGCTTGGAGGGTTTTCTTTTCTCTCTCTCTAATTCTCCTCAGTGCTTCAGTGTAACTCTGAGCGGGGGTCCCCTCTTCGAGCCTTCTCTTTGTGGATCTTTGTCGACCTGACGTGGAAGGACTGCCATCGCCTGCAAACAGCTCCTCCACCTGTGTGCGAACAGTGTTGCTGCGCTTTGGTACGATCTCTCCGCACATCTCGCGATGCATGGGCGCGCACAACATCAGTTGGGCACCATCTTGGGATGGATGGATGAGAGGCTTGAGTTCTCTTCTCTTTCTTTTTCTGCATCCTTCGCTCCCCTCTATCGCCTGATGTATGAACATTATGAACCATTGCCAAACAAACTCCTGCCAGGGGGGCATCATGAGAAATCGACATCTGGGAGCGAAGGTCCAGCACCAATTAGACACAACACTCACTAGTCACTAGAGCTGTCGCAATGCCCCCCCGACACTTTCAACTGCATCTGGGCAGCTTGAGGGGCGCTTCGCTGCTCCGCTTCATCGCTGCCTGTGCCGGATGACACGCGACGGCTGATGGCCGTCTAGTACCCCGCTCTGCTTCTTTACTCTTCGAGCCTGTTGGAAGAAGAGGCCTCTTCGCAACCTGCCGAAGACTACACGAAGAGAACCCCTCGAATTTCGAATGACCAAGCCCATGCAGCCTCAACCTTGCTCGTGGCTGGGGGATCCAATAACCTGGGCATTTTAAGGTTGTTCAAAGAGGACGTGAAGAAAAACAGGCACAGGATCCCTCTAGACTTAAGAGGAGGACTTGGAGGATCCATTAGTGCTGCCCTGTGGAGCGTGGCCGTTGGTGGCCTGCACTGAGCACTTGGAACCCCTGGCTCTGCGCATCCCGCAACCCGGCCTGCGCTGGCTTGCTCACCTCAGCAACAAGGATCACTGGATCACAGCTGGGTCTCCTCTGCCGGCATGACATGCAATGCCAACCCAAGCATGGGTGACCCTACAGCTTGCAAAGCAATTTTCGCCTGTAAGCATGCTCGGCCAATGACCGGGAAGTCATCCCAGGAAACGAAGTTATCACTTGCACCTGCATTGTGAGGCAGCGGCCACATGCTGAGCACGAGGCTGACCGAATTTGAGATTGTCAAGGCCTTGGTGCGCAGCTCCGTTCGCCGCCTTCGCACACAAAACCGATCGACAAGGTTGCCACAACGCATGACTGCAAGGTTAGAAACCGTCAGGTACGTCCATGCAGGGCACAGGCGAATGCAGGGGTGCGAGCTGGACGGGAAGATCCTACGCTTCTGCATTACTTTCGCCAGAGTCACAGCTGTGCGGCTACGCTCCGGCTCTGCCGTGCTCTGCCTGTCTGCTCTCGACTGGAGAGCGAGCGACCGAGCGACCTATTTCATGAGTTTTTTTGGACTGCCTGCATCTTGATCTCCTTGATCTGCACCGTCGGTTTGGTTTGCGGTGCGGCCGGAGATTCCTTCCCCCTCAGAGTGACTGGCCATGCTGCTTCTCGCCTCAGCAGATCTCGACGGCCTACTCTTCGACATGACGCTGTGTCCAAACTAGTTTCCAGACCGTCACATCTCTTATCAGAAGTCCAAGGCACCACGTACTCACCAGAGCACGGCACACGCAGAATGGTAGAACCTCTCAAGTCAGATCGAACTCACCTTCAGTGCTTGTGCTGACACCGATGTAACGATGTAGGCAGTGTGCCTGGGCAGACACTGACCGTCTGCAACGTGCACAAAAAGGACCGTGTGTGCAACCCTGAACCTGAGTTACACACGGAACGAAAGCTAGCACAGCCACGTGGGGCCTCTAAGACTCCACTTCTGTTTGCACGGTAAGAGCCGCACTGTCACAGGCCTGTGTAAGACTTCTGCGTAGAAAGCAGCCCCTGCTGTCTGTGGCACGCGGCACCTTCGGGCATCTCTTGTACACTTCGCGTCAAGACTTGTGCAATCGCCTGAAGGTCAGGCATCTGCAAGACATGTTCAAACCGTTCAGGGTTTCAGGTCAGTTGACAAGACTCCGTGCAGTGTTATGCACCGTGTAACTAATTACTACTAATTGCACTTTGAGACTCTCGCTGCTTGCCCTAGCCGTGACTCAAACAATTGCGACGCGTTGATTCTCAGACCGTGGCTGTACACATCTAGCCTCCGCGGACGACCTGTGCACGCAGTTGAAGCTGGATGCCGTCACTCTCTCATGCCCGTCTCTCCCTGCCTGCCGTTTATCATTCCGGCGTTACGTCTGGTCCAAGGACGGACCGAGTCTTCTTGCGTTCTGCATGTGTGGCAATCAATGTCTGGAGTATGCAGTGCATGAAGTCACGTCGTGTGACGGCGGAGATTATTTACGGCTGACATGTAGTCTGGACTGAATCCAAATTCATGCAGTCTTGGTGATTCTGCTGCTGTGCCTAAGGACACCTGTTTCTCTTGCTGCATCCATGGTGACGCTCAGAGCGTGGTGTGACACTGACAGCTTGAGCACTAATCTGAGCTAACCTCGCGGCAGAAACCCCGCATGAAGGAACATCAGGGACCAAGCCTTTTTTGACCCATGCAGGCTACTCACCTTTTTCCAACTGTGCATCTGCGGGTAGACGTGGTTCGGAGACTGCTGGTAGGCATGAAGAAAATCTCCTGGGCGATGCGGCACGAGCGGGCTGCCTGCGAACTGTGTGAAATAGGCCAGCCGAGTCTCTAGTGCTTCGGAGAAGGTCGATAGCAACGGAAAAAGCTCCACTTTTCGCGCAAGCGCCGACCACCTTAAAAGGAACATGAGCAGTCATCTAAGTCAACGCGCCTGGCTCTCTGTTTGACCCTGGCCTCCTGAAGGCTCACAGCATCTGGTCGCAGGTCTCCCTTGCCAGCCTGTCAGGAACGAGGGGGCTCTCTGCCACCCCATGCGTGCTGTTTCGCACTGCGAGACTATGCCAGGCTAAGTTTGGTCTGAGGCTACAGTCAAAGGTCGGAGTAGGCACTCCGAAAGCGACTGAACTGGGAGCCATCTCAAGCCAAATTCAACAGCAAGCTGCACAGTGCCTCGGCAAGCAGAAGCCCTGCAATAGGCCACTGCCAAGAGTTCGACATGGCGTGGACCAAAGCTCCGAGGGATGTCTCATCCGATACCTGCCGCCAGCAGCTACCCTGAACGTGGCTTATGTGGCACCGCACCGCAAATCTTCGCTGAAATGCACGCGCATGAAGCAGGCAGTGTTGCCGGAGCCTGCCATGCCGCCAGTTCACCTTTCCTGCCAGCATGACTGGCACACCAACTTGCAATCCGGCGTGATGGATTCGAGTTTTGAGGCAAGGTTTCTGGCCGCCGCACCCTCTCTGAAATGCATTCCAAAACTTCTGACCTGTGCCTGTTGAGGTAGCATGTTCAGCAGGTGCGCTCGGTCGGCCTTTGATCCACGGCCATCGCCAAAGCCCAGTATCCACGAGAGCCGCAGGCCGTAGCCAAAGTGCTCAAAGCAATGCTGTCCGGTACCAGTGACTGGCATTCAGCCTGAAACTTCCGACTTGTCAGTTGCAAAGGTAACGACCGATCTGGTTTGCGGCTCTGCGCCTTAAGGCAACAGGTGAGAGCCTCCCTCCATTGCGACGAGCTGGCACAAGCACCCATGTGAGCATTGAAAAGGACCTGGGCGCCATCTACCGTCCATGAAGCAAGCTCGGCTGCCGGATCGCAGGGTGTGAGCTGCAAAGCCAGAGCACTTGTCCTGGCTGGAACCGCGCCTCCGATTGCAGACCTGAGCTCGCTGGCAATCATCGCTGGGCGATTCTCCTGCCAATAATTTCGAACAAAGCTACCATTTCTGGTCAAACGGGGTTTGCAACTGTTCCTGCAATACGCTGAGACTGAAGCGTGTGGCCCATCGCCACTTGGACGCCCACCTTTCGATCGGGAGCGCAGTAAGACTGAAGATGCTTGAGTGTGCAAGGAGTCAGGACATCCCACCTGCATGATGAGATCGCAGCCCCGAGCACCACCTCGGAGTTAGAACTGAAGCGTAGGCTTCGCCGGCAGAAGTCTAAGGCCTCGTGGGAAGCTGAAACATGCTGAAACCAAACCTTCCTCCAGCCCCAAGCCGAGGCGCTACGTTCTGCCGGATTCCAACTGCAGCCATGAGCTCGACAATTCCTTTCTTTTCCCGGGTTTGCTGGAGGAATTGCGACATTTCCGACGAGTCCGGAGATTTCGCCTAACAGTAACTACGGCACTGCGCTGCGCGGCGTTTGCAGGCAAGACTCGCAAAGATGAGTGCCAGCATCCGCCCAATTCACATGCATGCAATGCCGCCCCGAAAGATATCACATCAACCTCCAATGACCAATCCAGCATGTTGTGGAACATGAGCTTCGTAGCAGCCTGCGTCGATCGGCTGAACGTTCCTCTGCGCTGAACGTCTTGTGGAGCTTTTGCTTTGCGTGACTCTGTCTTGCCTCCCAGCGGTTGGCAGAGCTGCAGGCTGTAATCCCCGCCCCTGCCAGGGCCGTGTCCGTCCACATACCTGGGCTGGGCAGGTTCAGTCCAGGGCTCGTTTCGTTGAATCTACAGCCGTCTAAGTCTAAGTCAATTCAATGAGTTGCGCTACCGGGCGACCTTGTTCATCACTTCGCCTGCAAGAAACCAAAGCCAGCTTCCACTGACCGCGAGCTTCACAAGCTGCGGCAAGAGCACAGCATCCGAGCACGTCAATGCCTGCAGCGAATGGCGCAGCCATCTACTGTAGCCTGCGAACTGATCCTCTGCATGCGATGAGCTGAAGAAATCGAGCAGCTGCTAGTGCAGTGCAGCTGCGGATGTCCTTCCCTCGCGCGGTGTGTAGCAGCTGCTGGGCATCATGCCAACAGCTTGACAGTGTGCAGGCATCGGCGCCACTCCCCATGGTAATTGCATCGTGACGGATGCCTGCGATCGATTCAAGAGACACCCTGGAACGATACGAGCAACGAGCGGCGGCACAAGGCAGAGGCAGTGCAGCTGAGCGGCCTCGTGAGTGCGCCGTGTGAAGAAGCGCAAAAGCTGAGGTCCAGGTCTCCTGATGCTCGACACATCGACGAATAGCCATAGAAGTGCCACTTGCGTCCTTTGCAGTTGAGGCGGCGGTGTTGCATGACACCGTGTCACACTCAATGTCGCGAAGATGAGCATCTCGAAGCAGCCTGATGCATCCCTCGTCTGTGTGGGACGGAGGCTGTAGAAGCGAGTTTGCAGCCGAAGGTTGAAGTTTGCTGGCCGTGGGCTTTTGAACTTGAAGCCAAGTATCTCGACAGCGGATTGCCACGTGTTGCCTCCACAGCTCATGAGCCTCAGCAGACTATGGTCTGGGTGTGAGCTCGATGTTCTAAACCACTTCCTTCCACAACGACAGACAGGCGACAGGCTAATAGCAGGAGAGGAGCGAGTTGTAGCTTATGGACGTAAGCTGCAAGGCTGACTGTGCTGCTTCGCACACGCAGTGGATTGCAGCTTGCCAGTCTGAGCTCACGGTCACGAAGCAAAGCTCTCAGGCCACAGGTTGCATGTGGCCGCGAGGCACATCGACAAATTCAGCCCTGCGCTTCCAATCTCTCGATACAGTGCGGTTGCTGCATTTCTGGTAACCTCAAACAAGACAGTTCACCGGCGATCGTGAATCCAAAGAGCGCCCGTGTTCACTCAGCGAGACTGGCCGGGCATGCAGTCAAGCAACTATTTGCATCTCGATCGTCCATCGGTGCATTGCCCTGCAAAGCTGCAGTCCCTGCTTCCAGACACCGGCGCGGACGCAGCTGGACAAGCCGGAATTGTATGCGAAAGCACCTCCGTCTTCTGCAAACTGTGATCTTAACAGCAGCAGGAAGTCCAATCAAAACGAAAACCAGCACGGGCCGTGCTACGAGTAAGCCAGGGGCTACGCTGGACCGACGACGAATGTAGACTTTGCAGCAGCCCTGGGCTGCATGCACTTGCCGCGCAGCGATCGTGCGATGCAACAAGGTACACTTTTGCCTCAAAGCTTCTCAAGCTTTGCCGCCATTGGCTGCATTTTGCTAAAGCAGCCACCGCTGCACTGCTGGTAATGACATCCTTCCCAAAGCCGGCAGCCTGCAAAGAATTCGGCTCTTTGAGAACTCGACAGGCTGCGAGCACCTTGGCATCTTCCCAAAGCGCCAGCGCCTCAAGTCGACACAAGCCAACTGGGTATGGAGCTACCGCATTGCAGTCTCAGCCGGGCCTTTCGCCAGTGGCGCCCTGCGGTTTTGATCGCCTTTGTGAAGCCGGCAGCGCCCAGACTTTCGGTCCTCCCAAGGCATTGAGAGATAAAAACCCGCTCGTTTCCTTACTACTATTATTATTATTACTATTACTATTACTATTACTAATATTGTTATTATTACTATTATGATTATTATCAATATTATTATTAGTATTAGTATTAGTATTAGTATTAGTATTATTATTATTATTATTATTATTATTATTATTTGCCCGCTCCTTGTCTGGGGTGCTGATCGGCCCATTGGCCGCTGGACCGCGCCATCGCAAGCATGGCTCGTCCCAGAGAGAACTGCAAAACACTCGAAAAAGCAGCGAGCTGTCGCTGACAACGCTGTGGCGCACAAAGCTCGGTCAGGTACACAGGTATGAGCGCTATCTAGGCTAGACAGCTAGTCAGATGAAGAAGACACCACGATAGAGCTCGGGCGAAATGCCAATTCCACAGAATGCCACGGCTCTGCATTCCAATTCCCTGCGACTGGATGTCTTGAGGGCCCAGCATCTTTGGTGTGGGGCCTGTTGTTGTTGCAGCAGGCCGCAAAAATCAACGGTGCATCGTATAGACATAGTGACACGAGGCCAAAGCTCAGCCGCGGGTGGCCTCACCTGGCGCTCGCGGGGACGCTTAAAACACAGTTTTGGCCCAATATTTAACCAAATAGGTGTCACCGCGGTCCCGTTCTTAGAGTTGTCCCGGATGCACAAACCACCAACCTTGCAATCTTGCAGTCACACTTGCGAAGACTGTTGGGGGATGGTTGACAGCACGTCGTGATGCCCTGCCGCACTGAGGCTTGAGCATCCAGCTCCCCGGAAACATTTCCTCGGAGGTGCAATCCAGCACGGCCCGCGGACTGCCTGAGCCTCACAATATAAACCTTTTTGTGGAATTCCAAAGTGTTAGCTCTAGCACAAATCTGGTGAGCTTTCCTCCAAACTCTTGATGCTGCTTCTTAGGTCGGCTCAGCCAGATTATCGCGTTGCAGACACATCTTGGGCGGTTGCGAATGAAAAGCTCCGCGTGGAACTGGGAGACTCCATCGCGGTTTACAGCCACATCCTCAGCAAAAGCAAGGCTGCGGCCTTACACTTTCCACGGTCTCCTGGCTTGAAAAAGCGAAATGCAAGCACTTCACAGCGCTTGGGCCACTCGCGTTTGTGGGACTGCGCCCAACTCGGACGACCTTGTGATGCCCCTAACCGACCACGCTGCTCACTCCTAAAAGCATACTTGACCCTCGCGGACGAAGATAGACTACGGCAGATCAAACTGTTCGCAATTTTTACTACCATTTTGATGTTTGGCCTGTCATAACGGCTTACCGTCGCAACCTCTGAAGCACAAACAATGACAATGAAGTGTCAAAGCCCTTGTTAAACTCTACCGTTAAACTTGGAAAAACAAGTTGGTGAGTAGCCCCAAGCCTTCCCCTCGCGCAGAGTGAAATCCTGCACAGGAGAAGTCACATTCAGAATGCACGTGCTTCCGCCCCTGCAAAATACCGGCAGAAGCAAACGACTGCACCTGATGGCGCTTTGCAGCCTCGTGCAGTATCCTCACGTGACACCTGCAAGACGAGAGTGCTCCGGCGGGCACGGTCATGCATTGTGATCTTTCATCTGCGGCCGTCTGGGCCAGCCACTGTACTAGTACAGGTGTCCTTGCCTGCCCGCATCCACTCTATAGGCACAAGTCACGCTGATGACGGCAAAGGACATTGCTGGAAGTCGTGCCTTCTCAACAGGCCCCGCTTCCATGGGCTCCATGGATGTATTCCTGGCTGAACTGCACCGGTAACCGTCTAGAACCATGCTCATCATGCCACGCGTCTTGCGAAGCTTGGGCCGTGGCTGGTATTACACTTACTGGATCCCTTTCCATGCTGCGCGGCAGTATCTGCCTCGCGCAAATGCACGTGGCTGCGACAACAAAGCACTTATCAAGCAGCTGTTGAGCACAAGAAGCACGATCCAACCCAAAGCACGATCAGGTGCCGCGCATCGCAGCTGACCCCACTCCATGCTGTGCACTTCATCAAGGCACAGTTGGGACAAAGTGCTCTTCGGCGGTCAAGGTGCATTTCTGTGTGTACATCCTGCTGGACATGTGGCGGAAATTCACTGCTGTTGATGCTGCAACAAGTCTTTTGGTTATAGAGAAACGAAGGCTCCGCCCAATTAATCCTAGTCCGTAAGACCACCAAGGCCCCATTACCGGAAGCGCACCGCTTGGTAGGTGTTGTCATCAACTGCGTGATGCTGGAAACAGCTGCTGGGGTGAACGTGAACATCGCGGGTCGCGAGCCTGATCAAGCAAATTCTGAAGCTGCTCCGCAGTGGCCTCTGCGGCCAACGGTGATTGCAAGCGTCCTTTCACCTGAACTCCCTGTATTGAGTTCTGCTGTCACAGCTAGTTCATATGTCTTGTTTGGAGGACCCGCGCTATATCTTGTTGCATCCAGGTACAGATCGGAAACTCTAAGTTCGGAAGTCGCAACTTGATCTCATGACAATGGATCATCCTAGCTCGCCAGGAGGTCCTCCAAGCTCGAGCTGCGATAGGAATCGGTCTGCAGCCGAAGTTTCACTAGCTCTTCTACGAGCTTCTTGGGATTTGAGATCCCATCACCTCTGCAAAACACCTTCAGAAGATGGAGTAGCTGCAACTCGGAAGATGGAGGCACTACACCGACTTCCCCGGAGTTTGCTTCGGAATGCAAGTCACTGGAAAGAAGAGGCCGCTTGACGAACCCATTCCAGCTCAGAATTTGCTTGTCTCTCAGAAGGTCCCATACTTCTCGACACGTCCGTTCCGAAACGCATGAGTCAACTTGACCCTGCAAAGCCCATGGCTCCAGAATCCCCAAGAACTTAGCCAGCACTGCGCGCTCTTCTGGCCAATAACCACAATCTCCGTTCAGCAACTTGAGAAGTGCCCTGATGTGGAAGCTAACGTGCCTTGGCTCACCCCAAGGGCAAACAGCCATGGCCACACCGGGGTCGTGCAGGTGGCAGATTTGCACCGCGAGGGAAGTGACCTCGTGAGCCCGGGATCGCCCACCTGGGCGGTGCGAACCCCGCATCACCGGCAAGAGCCTGGAAGCCTCGGCCCCTGACAGCAGCACCACCCACTCCTGTGGAAGCGCAGCGCCAGGTTCGCAGCTAAAACTAAATGGGTGGCCACGCGGAAAGAACTCTGGAAAAGCTCGCTCCGACGCCTGCTTGATTAGGAGGAACACATCCACCGGCCGAAGGCACTGTGTAGACTCCGTGCCGCGGCTGTGCGGGGCGATGCTGCAGAGCCAATTGTTGGTGACCCAGAAGTTCTTCGGCATGCTGCTCAATCCTTGCAGAGGTGGAAGAGGCAGGCATTTCTTCTCGAACACCTGTGCGGAGATGGCATGAAGCGCTGGAAGTCCAGGCATCCCAGCCAAACACTTGGAAACAAAATCCGGCTCCAGGACCTTGCTCCAATCCCAGTCCTGCTCATCCAACGGCGTGAATGCTTGAGGTTTGGGAGCTTCTCTGCAGACCTCTTGCTCGACCTCCACCTCCCTCTCGCGTTCTTTCTCCTGCTCACGTTCTCGCTCCTGCTCCTCATCCATTGACGAGATTAGCACTGTCTCCCTTCCCAAAAGGCCTTTGTTGTGGAGGTACTCAAGCTGCTTTGCAATCCTGCTCTCCGCTTCCTGCTTGCAGCGCTTTGCTTCCACATCTGATAGGCCTGCCGCATCCAATGTGGCTGTTGGAACGGCCAGCACGCGCATCGGGATCTCCTCCTGGGCAGGCCTTGGTGCTAAAGGCTGGCAATAGCCCGACAGCTGGAAGGCCTCCGGCTCCAAACACAACTTTTCAATGTTCTTAGACGCTTTGCCGGCTCTGAAGCTATCGTCAGCGATCTGTCGCAGGAAGGGCTCACGGGTGGCAAAGCTGGCTCCTTGCAAGGCCCAGAGTGGAATCGATGCCTGGAGCTGCTGCGCAGTGTTGGATAAAACCCAGCTCAGCAGAAGCTCCGTGGAGACAGGTGCAGCTTCTGGGAGTGCGGCATCGTGGATCAGCTGCCTGTGTGCTTCACCGTTCAAGAACAAGACCACTGTCTGGCCCTTGCCCAGGGAGCGCATCCGCATTGTTGCTTGCATCAGGCGGTCCTTCGTCATCTTGCGGCTAACAGTCACTGCGCCAACAGCCTTCCCCCGGAACTCCAGGTCCGTGCCACGGGTGTGCTGGTCATCAAGATACGTGAAGACCCCCTCATCTGCAGGCTGAAGCGGGCTTTCGGCCAACATGAATTCTCTTCCCTGTCTGTCGAGGGCCCGTGTCTTGCCATCATCCCCGAAAAAGATGACCGCTTTGCAATCCAATGCGTTCATGCCCAAACATGCTTCTGCAACCTGGCGATTGGAGAGGCCTGTTAGGAAGGCTCCGCAGTCGATCAGAACTGACACGCGCTCGCTGCCGGCACAACTTGCAAGGATGTTACGGAGTGTGTCCATCGCCTCTGTTACGTTGAGCGATACTACTGGCGCAGGCCCTGCCAAACAAGGATCAAGTAGACATCTGAGCGCATGTCCATCCGTGTGCCGCAAATACTGAGGCTCGTGCTGGCAAACCCCCAGCGGCAGCACCTGCCTGTTGTCTGCAGTTCCCGAGAACCCCCGCAATCGCCCGGCAGCTAAGTCCCAGCCACTGGCAGACACCTGCAGGGCAACTGAATCCGGACATCTACCAACACGCGATATTTACCAGTCGCTTGATCCCTGAAGGCCTTGTGAGGAAACTGGCGTGTCTCCTCAGGAAAAACGATCTCCTCCAAGTATGTCTCCACCACCCGCATGTTCGAAGCCAGCTGCTTCCACAACAGGTCCACCATGCGCTCATCATGTGAAACAAGGCCAGATGAAGTCTTTGGAAGACCAAGTCGCTTAGCAACTGCTTCCTCAAGCGTCTCACCCGCTGATGGACGCGTATCAACCTCCTGTACTGCTGCCCTCAACCAGTCGTGGTACAGCTCCTCCTGCTGGACTGCAGGGAGCTCCTCCACATGGCGAACCAGCTCACGAAAGCGGCTCCGGTTGAGCCCATGCTCGTAGTATGCGCGGAGCGCCAAAGCAATGGCCATGTCGGGGTGGCCGAACTCGGTTCGCTCGCTGGGGGCATCCTTGTAACGAAACGGGATAGCCATCTTGCAGCGATGGGTGGTGTTGTCCACCCCGAATTCCACCCGGTGTCGCTTGTGCAGAGAGGCTCGTAACACATCTCCAGCAAACAGCCCTCGAGCTGTCAAGACAGCATTCCGCAACGCAGTGGTATCCACCGCGCCATCAGAGCACAGGGCCGACTGAAGGATCGCCTCCAACTGCTCTTGGGGAAGCTCAGCGTCCAAGATGAAAGTCTGCAATTGTTTACCTAAGAGCTCGCTGCATCCTCCACACGTTTACCTCCTATCCACAGAACTGTATAGGTTGCAGGGAAGCCGCGGATGGATGGCGGCAGGCCACCAAGACTCCGAAGTCGATTTGTTGAAGACTTCTGGGATTGCAGCAGGCCTCCGCAAAGGGCAGAAGCCAAATGCTCCCAAAGACGGCTGCTTCCTGACATGGCGAAGGGAAGGGATAGCGGCCCGGGGTTCAGAAGTTTGATCTGGCCGCGTCGTTCTTTCAGCATATGATCGGGCAGGTCACGAGGGCTTCTGCCAATCCGAGGAAACAGTGCAAGTACTTGCAAGTACTGTAGCCCGACGATTTGCAGGCGACTTCCCAATCAAAATCCCTTTGAGCATGCCCTTAGTCTGTATGCCCACTGAGGCTCGCGGTACTTGAACGAAGCGCAGGCGAGGGAATTCTGCGCCGGTGTTGGGGTTCGCTGCAGCTGACTCCACGGCATGAGAGTCGCAAAGCTTCTGCATGACCTTCTTCGCTTCTGGGTTGTCCTTCCTGCCCATAGCACCAATGTCCAGCGTTTCAGAAGGCAAGCTAGACAAAACTGAGGCCCGGTCAGCAAACGGAAAACTTCGAACTGCACTCGCCATCGCATGCTTTCCCCATCCAAGGCCTGCGCAATAGCCATCAGGAACTCATGAATCCCAACTGAGCGCTTTGATGGCTTGGATCGTCTGCGATCCGAAATCGATGCCGAGTCTGACTGTTATACTCCTGCTTTTGGGGGTATCTCCTGAACGAGCCGGTGTCTGTACAATGCTCCCTGACTTAGTGAGGGCAGATCCGCCTGTCTGGCCCCAAGGGTGTAGATTTGTTCGTTGTTCAGTCGCAAGGCTTCATCAACTTCATCGAAGATGTCCACCTTTACCAGCAGTGGGCACAAAAAATCACCAGTCCACGTGCAATTGGCTGCTCAAGTTTACCATGCAGCACTGACCCATTTACCTTTGAAAGCTTGCTCTTGCTCGTTGCATCTCCTACTCCACCTTCAAGTTTAGCCATCTTGCTAGCTCGAATGCACATATCTGTCGTGATTGCCTTTTCACATTCCTCACTTCTGCTTCCTCTTATGCACCCTACCTCTGCTCCAAACTCATACAAGCACCGGAGAACCGGGAGTGTGCATCGTGGTCCATTCATCTGTTGGCAGCCGAGCCACTGCAGAGTGCAGGACACCCGAAAAGAGTCCTAGGAGCAGGACTGCACAGCATCCATACAGGCCCAGCTCAAGCTACAAAGGAATATTGCACATGGTCCTGGAGTGAACAGTAGAGCAATGATTTGGCAATGACCTATACCTCGCCCCCTAGTTTTCACCATTGAAGCCAGGCATCCGGCAAATTTTTGCCGAACTGCTGAGCTTGCGTTCTTGACATTGAGGCAGCACTCGCGCAGCTTCAACTGTAGGCTTTTGACGGCCTCCTCCGTCATCAGCAGAACCCCACCCAACCTCCTCAGTGTTGAGACAGCTCTGTCCCATTAAAAAGTTTATCGAATTAGAATTGTGTTTCTGGGCCCCTGCACTGTAAGGGCGAGCAGCCGACACTCGTGCAGTTGTGCGCTCATCGCTCGGACGGACTGTTCGCTTATCTGCTTGCTTCGATCGAACGGCAGGAGGTACAACCTGCGGACACGGCATTCGGGGTTTGCGATCTTGGCGAGCCTGCATTCGGTCCGTCTTTGGCGAGCCTTCGGCCGGATATTCCGCCAAGAACTTGCCGCAGGTGATCAACAGAAGCATGAAGCAACGAACTCAAAACCACTACCTCAGCTGCCCGTATCTGGGTTAGCGACATTCACTGATCCGCAGGTTACACTCCCACAACTCTGACAATCCCGGCGAGGTCTATCGGGCGCGGTCGGAGTGAAACAAGTGTGGCTCCTCGCTACGAGGCTTTCCGACATGGATCAAACCGAGTCGCCCGAACAAGCTGCCGGGCATCTGCAACGGCGGTGCAAAGCAGGGGCCTCAACAGGGTGCAAAACAAAGCTAAGTGGCACCAAAACATGCGCTGCCAGTTCACTGCCTCTCTTGCAGAAACTTGCAAATTACAGAGTCTGGGGCAAGCGCAGGATCACCTTGCTTTTGCCTTCTCCCATGTTCAACTGCAGAACCTGCCGGTCGAAGGACTTTTCCATCATTGCGGCAGCGACCTCCAACTGCACCGGTCTGCAAACGAATCCTTGCTCCCACTCCAGCTGGAGCCAGTCTCCCCGGTCAGTAACGTGTTTCGACGGCTGCAGCAAATCTGCGACTGCCCTTTGCAATGTTGCTCCAACATGGGGCTTGCCGAGTTCCTCTGCCATTCTGCACATGCGGGTTGAGAGGCCCTGCAGCTGAACGATGCTTTTGAGGTAGCCAATCAACTTCGTCGGCACCTCGCTGCCTCTTGCCACGGTCCACTGGGGGAGTGCGCCGGAAGCCTCTTCAACCTTTTGGAGAAAAGGGTTGAGTGCAGCTAGGTGCCTCCACGTATAAGGCTCTCCCGGGGGCTTTGACAGCAGTGCCACAGCATCCTTGCGGTTTGTTATGCCAGCAGCAAACGTGGCCTGCAGAGCCCGAAAGGCATGTCCGGCTGCATCATCTGGAATGCAATCAACCGAAATCGTGTCACAGACTTTCACCCAGAGCTGGTCAGTGACCTCGTGCAGGTGCACCGCTTCCTGCCAGCAATTTCGGGTTATGACAAGATGACAGGAACACGAAATGCTCACTAAGACAACCTCTGCCCACTGCAAGGCTGTCCTCGAGAACCACCTTTGCCAGGCACCTGCGAAATTCCGGTGTGCTCAGCACTGCCTGCGCCAGCCTTTCTGCTTGTTGCGGTCGCTCAAACTCTGCCTCCCAGCTCTCCTGCAAACATTCGTACAGCTTTCGCCCGGCACCATGAGACAAGCGATTTTGTAGTAACGAGCCACTCGAGCCCGTTGGGAGCTGCAGCTTCAAAGGCTCAGTGGCCGAGCTTGCACAAGTAGCCTCCGAGAAGGCTTCATGAAGGCTGTCGACAATGTGGCGACTCAGGCTGCGCACGTCCGGCATGTCGAGGTCAGGCACATCAACTCTGCGCAGGGGCCTTGCCACTGCTCGAGCAGGGCATGCAAGACTGCCAGAGAAGTCCCAAAGCGGAAGCTGCCTGAGCTTGGACAAGGCCGTTGCGTAGGACTCTTCCAACCGAGCCGCCAAGCGCTGGCGCAACCAAAACAGAAGGTTGATATCGAGCTTGCGCAGCAAGGTTGACTGCGCCTCCTCCCTGAGTTTGAGCTTGCTCATCACATCCCGAAGCCCTCGCAAAGAGCTGAGTCCACCAGGCGGCACGTCTTCGAGGCAAAAGGCGGGCGTGGAATCGGAAGCGAAGTCAGCTTCGCCACTCGCTATCCAAGCTTCCAGCTCCGCTGCCACTGCATTCCAAGCATCTTCAACTTCTTCAGCCTCCCCTGCATTAGCTTTGCGATAAGGGCTCAACTGCTGGATGTGCCTCCAAAGCTGTCCTTCCTCTTCCTTCTGGTAGCTCTGCCAATCATCTCCGGCATAGCTTCGAAACCATTCCACCAGCAGGCGCAGCAATGTGGGGAGAGAGCTGTCTGTTCGGCCTTCAGCACGACTTTCAAGCTTGCGAAGGCGCCTCCTGCCGAATTCATGGGCGGTCCTCTCATGTTGCAGCATCTCATCCTGAAATGCTTCCCAATCCGGAGCAATCCGAGTCCGGATGTGGGGCTTGCTGCCCACGTTGCTTTCATAGATTGCACACTCGCTTTTAAGTTCTTCTTCGAACCTCTTCTTTGATTCCTGCTCCTCAGAGGCATAACGACGAGCCATACCCTCGAGCCTTGTCTTGCGATCAGCCTCCATCTTTGCAATGCGCTGGGCCAACATCTCTTGGTCTTCTGCTAACTTCCGCGTCTCTGCAGAGTGAACATCCAGCTGGCGCGACAACTGCTTTTGCTCAGCATCCAGGTCTTGTTTCTTCGACTGGAGGGTTGCCACACTCTTCTCCAAAACTTCCCTCTGCTTCTGGGCCAACTCCAAATCTGCTTGACCTGAAGGAGATCCACGAATAACTGCAAGCGTTCCCTGTATCCCTTTCGCTTGCTGTTGGTTTGCCACCTCCAATGCCTTAGATTGCAAAAAAGACTGGCTCACCATGGCAAGCTCAACTAGCAGGTGCAAAGACCCATCAACCCTCCAGGCTGGGGTCTGCGAAGTGCATGCAAGTCTCCCTCTGGAACTCCTCGAGTTTCTGACGGGTCTGCTGGAGCTCTTGTGCTGTCGACGCTGCTGTGGCGTTGATGTCGGTCGTGGCCTTCTGAAGTTTCTGACCCTCTGTCTCAAGGCGTTTGGTCTCTGCGGGGAACCGACGCTTCTCGGAAATTTCTTGCTGCTTCAATTGTTGCCATTTCACACATTCAGCTTCGGTGGGCCTTGCCAAGTGCCGACAGTCATCCTCGGATCGGAAGATGACCCTTTCGGAGCAAAGGTAGGCCCTGATGACACCTGCATCCGTCAGTGCTGTTTCGTGCCTGAGCGCTCCATGCGCCCAGCTCGGTGGCGACATGAAGTCGTCAGGGAATAGGGACACCGCGCAAGCCAGTGCCACGTGCCACCGCAGCTCTGGTTCGTCGGAGATGGCAGCATACCCCAACCGCCATCGGAGCTCCTTCCCGAGTATTGGCTTCGCAGATTTCGCGATGTGCCACAAAAAGAGCAGGCAGGAGCGATCCGGCAGCTCCTGATGCCAGCCCGTGCCTGCGGGCCCTCCACCCTTGGGCTCGTAACACCAAGGAAATGTCGCAATGCTCCAGGCACTGCCATTCGCGATGTCCTGGAGCCCCCGTCGAACAGTCCGCAGATCTGGAAACACTTTTGGTGAGATCGTCGCAATCTCTGCAAATTTCAAAGCACTGATTGCATGCGTAGCCTCCGTGATCCTGACCTCCGGTTTGTTGCCAAGTTCCTCACACTCACGTGGAGTCAGCAAACACCACTCCTCAGGGTCATGTTAGAGCAATCTGCAGCAGAGCAAAGGAAGTGCCTGACTCATCGTCTTAACTCTAACCGCATCCGCAGCTCCTCTCCCTGGCCACGCTTCCGTGCCGCACCCATGAAGAACAATGCGATGTCTTCTTTCGCAATGCTCAACCTTGCAACTTACAGGCATTGCCTCTCAAACGCACAAAATGGAAGTCTCATCAAACAAGTCTTCGATCGGCTTCAGTCATGCTGCTTGTTTTTCCTCAGGGGAGGTCTTTGTGGCGGGCTGTCCGAATCCAGCGACCTCGACGAGCGAATGGCTGCCGGCAGGACACTCAACTTCTCATTCATAGTTGTCGACTTATCAGCACATACCATCTACCAGTCGCATCTAGGGCTCTGGCTGCAAGGATTCAGCCCCACGCTCCAGTTCTCGCAGCACAAACTTTAGTTGCAGCCCTTTGGTGTTTCTGGAATTGTTCGCCAGCGTGGCCAGCCTCGCAAGTCATACATCTTGCAGCTCTTGCAAGCGCGACTTCCAAAACGAACTCGCCCTTGTTGACAAGACTGCCTCTCGAAGCCCTGAGGCACCGGCTGATCCAGCCAAGCCCGCTCTTCCTGGTCGCAGAGTGAACAGCACAAAAAACACAAAAAATCGGGAGTCTCCGTGGTCTCAAGCAGCAGGCCTCGTCGTAGGGCAGATTCTGGAAACACTGCCGAAGCAAGTCCAGGGCCTCTGTTCGCGCCGGACGGCCCGAAAGCTTCTGGGGTACTGGAGTGCCTGTGGCCCACAGCAGGCATGCAAGCTGAAGGCGGGCAGCGGTCGTTTGTACTTTCATACGGCCATCTTCCCAGTGGATCTCGAATGTGGCATACTTCCGGCACCTCTCTTCATCGGGAAAGTCCATGCCGCAACGGATCAAGGGATTGCCGGAGGCACGTCCATGCTCAAGATTTCGCACCTTCACAATGCCATCTGGCAGAAGCACGAGGCCCGGTGAAGCTGATGCTAGCCCCTCCATCACACACATCTTCTCCAGCAGAAAGAATCCCTCAAAGCCACAGAGCGTGTTCAATACTTGCCTTGAGGCCAAGCGGTATCCTGGAAAGTCCAAAGACTCGAGGAAGACTCCTTCGCCTGTATCCGGCTTCTGCGATGATTCAATCTTGAACTTGAGGTCCAAGCGCAAGAAGTGAATCTCTTTCAAGCAGCCGCCGACATCTGCCAAATACTCAACCCATTCATCAGGCTCGACTCTGCCAAAAAGGTCTGCCAAACGCTGCACCCGCGGCTCGGAGGCCGGAACAACATAAAAGTCTGTGCCTTGCTGGGAGCACACTAGCTTGCAAGTCTGCGCGTCCTGCAGGAGCATTCGGTACGTCCTCTTGGGATCTGCATTGTTCCTGGCGGGCCTGAAGTCAATGCAGGTCTCCTCATCATCTACCCAGTGGCAGTAGTCAGTCACCAATGCTCGTCGAAAGCCCTTCGGAAGGCATCGCGAGGGCACGAGAGTGCGACTCTTCTGACCTGCTTCCTGAACGAGCAGCTCTCCGTTCGGGAGCAAACACAGTCTGAATGTTTTGCCTCCGTGCGAGTTCAACGGAGCTGTTTCGAAAAGCCGGTTTTTGAGGGACCAGGCTGGGGAGTCAGCTTGACCCACGATGTAAGAGAACATTCCATGTTCACGGATTTCCTTTGGCAAGACCCCAACTGGCAAGCCGTTGAAAAGCAAACGACCTCGCGCAGGCTCCACAAGCACGGTTCCACAGGTAGTTCGGACTTCACGCCATGTGCTCAACCAAGCAGAGTCCACTTGAGGAAAAGACCATTCAGACACTGGCTTTTGGCTGGGCAGGAACACATTTAGGATGCTGTCCAGAACGGCCGGAGCTGTAAGCTGGCATTCATGGAGAACGCACACCTCCTCCACTGCGGCTAAGTCGGCATCTTTGAGTTTCTGGTTTCCGACGGCCAAACAGTTCTCCAGGTCAATTCGTGCGCGTACCAACTTGACAGCATCACCTGCTTCACCAATTGAGAGATGGCCCTGGGGCACATAACGAAAGGACTGCACGAAAGCCATCAGCATCGAAGCCACACGTGCTGAAGATTGTCCTTGTCTGCTTGTCTCCCCGGCCCAGGACAAAAGCAAATTTTGGCACAGCCGAAAAGCTTTTCGAGCCGTCTGAGCATTGTCGGGGCATTTCCTGGAGCAATCGAACTGCGCCAGGTAGCCGGCACATGTCATCAGGCACACCAATGCATCGACAGGCCCTCCCTGTATCCTCAATGCTTGTGCCTGCTCCTGTAAACATGCCGCACATTCCCAAGATGCAAATTCCTCCAAGTCGGCCTTGCAGCTTCGTCCCAGGAAGCAAGTCGGTTCATCTAGTGGACCAGCACGGAACAACACCTGCTTGCACACACCCAAGACGAGCGGGTGTTGCAACGGAAGCTCCTCCTTGTGCAGAGCCAGCAAGAGCCTTCTAATGTGCAGCTCGGCACTCACAAACCCCAACGATCTGTAGGTGACCTTGCTCAAGTCTTCCAAGGGCTTCGGCATCAGTGACAGGACAAGATTCTCAGCCGGCGATACCAGCAGCTGCTGCTCTGCACTTGCAAGATCATCTGTGCAGTACAGTTTTGCCGGGGCATCGCCCTTCTGCGGCCAGTCTTCTGAGAACGGGTCGAGCAGTACCCCCTGCCATCGCCACAACAACTTCATCCCGTGCAGCTCCTCGCGAGGGTAGTGGATTCCAAGGCCTTCCTTTAGCGGCAAGAAGTGACTCTCGCGCTGCTTGCCGTCACGGTATGTCGGCGGGTAATCTCCGAAAAGCTCGAAGTTGGCATAGTTGCTGAGGCGCACTGCCGCCTTGTGGCATGCAGAGAACTCTTGGAAATGCTGTCGCCAGGAAAAGGGCGGCGGATCTTGCGGTGAAGGCGGAAAGCCTGCCTCCATGTCAAAGCAGTGCCGTGCCAAGCAGAACGCATTGCCCAGCCTGGCCAACTGCTCTGGGATGTAAGCGCAGAACACAATCACCCGTGCTTCTGCCTCGTGCTCACACAAATGGGGCAGCGCCTGCACTTTGGACGGAAGAGGTTTTTGCACAGACAGAAGCTCAGCTTGCCAGTTGGACAAGGCCTCCGCCTGGCTACTCACCAGTCGCTGCTGACCATCGAGCCATGCTGCTGGATTCTCCGCTTGCAATCGTGTCCGCGGCAAAGACTCTTTCGAGAATCGTGGCTGGTGCTGCACACCCCGCTGCTGCTCGTGCTGCACGGCGTCGGCCCAGTTTTCTTTGTAACTCTGCTGCCGCCTATGCTCCTCCTCCAGCTTCTCCACTGCAAGCCTTTCCTGCTCCCACGCTGCTGCCAGGAATGGCAGCCTGCGCACTGCGGCTGCTGCCAAAGCTTTCAAGTCTTTCATTCCGTTGAGGCCTGGAACCAATAGTCGATGACGCGCACTGCTCAGAGGTGAAAGATACCGTTCAAGCCTGTTCAATAGCTCCAGCCACCTTCTCTCGGGCAATAGCAAATGTTCCAAGGCGTGGACAGCCAGAGGCGGGGCAAAATCCTTCATCAAACATCTGAAGGAAACCTCGCCATGATTCCGGAGCAATGAGTCTTGCATACAAGCCAGTGTCCAAACCGTTAATACCATGCGCGAATGCCGCAAGGCATTGCGATATTGGCTCGGTTGGGAACAGAAGGACACATATGTTTCCAGCATCGTTGAAAGTTTGATTGTCCAGCCTTCTGTGTGCACTGTATCCCCGAAAGCCATAGGCCAGTTTTGAAAGGAGCTTGCTGACATCGCCATTTTCAGGACAGCTTCCTCAAAGAGTAGCGCTACTCGAAAATGGTCGCTGACAGCTGCCGCACTCATCCACTCCACCAGAGAATCCACATACCCAATATCTAAATCGCGAAAGGGGAGGGTGTTGCAGTTGATTGACCAGGTTTTGGACGCATGACGAACCGGGAGCTCGGAACTCATCTGTGCATCATCTTCACCATGCAGAACTCCGTCCACACTCTTGAAGAAATTTGTCAACTCTGCAGGAACTTGGAAGTCTGTGCTCGCACGAGCTTCTGTGACAACGAGAGCCGCATGCAAATCTGCAGCTCTTTCACGAAATGACGTCATGCGCAGCAGCGCGCCATCATTCTGCAGTTTATCCTGGTGATAGGATAACTCAGAACTGACCACGACGGAGAAATCATACACCCCATCGTTTGTGTTCACCAGCTTGGCCAGTTTGCGAGCGATACGTTGCATCGCATGAATCAGGGAACCGCTGCAGTACAGATCTTCCAATCGTCGCAGGTACACTGGGCTGTGTGATGCGACTTCAAGCAGCTTCTTGGGTGGAGCCCAGGTGTCAACCAAGCCCGCATAGCTGTCCCATCGGCTGGTTGTCATCAAAACGAGGGCATCCTTGCCGGAAAGGTATTGCACAGCTCTCTGTAGAGCAGGCTGAGGCAAGCGAGCGATGCTGCCATTCGGTACAGCAAAGTTGCGAGCAATGTGGCGGACTGCACAGAGGCTGAGAAATATCATGCAGCGCTTGTACACAGACTTCGGCAGGCAGAGGACATGCTGTACCAATGCCTGCAAGCCAAATCGCACATGTCCAAAAGCCGCACTACTTCGCTCCATCATTTTCCACTCGGATGGGACTGCAAGATGTTCTCCGAGGAAATTTGGCCAAACGAAATGATGGAAGAACTCCACGTCCGATGAGGAGGCTGTTGTACTAGTGGCCAGCGTACTCAACCAGCGCATCTTCTCCTTGACCAGGAAGTCGGTTTTGTGAATCCGCCTTGCTGTCTGGCAAGGGGACTGCACTCGGATTCCCGCTTCCTTCCGGCCATGTGGCAAGAATTCGTGCTCCATCATCTTCTTGCAGGAAGAAACGAATTGCCCCGAGCATGCTCGGCTCTCTGTCGGGGCCAATGTGGGGATACATAGCAAGACAAGCTCGTCCGGAACTTCGTCCGCAGCGTACGCCACCAGCAACACTTGATGATGGAGCAGGGGCAGCACCAGGATCTTCCCAACAGACACTCTCCTGTGAGGACAGGCTAGGGGCAGTGCCGAGGTTTGGATCGTTGCGGCGACCGGCCCAATCCCACCAATCTGAAAATACAGCCCACGAGAACTTGACTGTCTTACGAATATCAGAAAGCCAGAAAGGAAGAGAGAGACAGAGAGAGACAGAGAGAGAGAGAGAGAGAGAGAGGGAGAGGGAGGGAGAGAGCGAGAGCGAGCTAGATGGGAGGTGAGTGTTTGGTAAACTACCCCGTCCGGTCATGTAATTCGAAACTCGAGTCAAGCGTCTCTTGGATATGGTGAGCCATCTTGTCGGGATTGTGGCCGTAAAGGAGTCCCCAGCGCCAGGACGTCAGCATCTCGGAAAGCCTAGTCGCTTTGTGCTTCATGTCACATTCAACACTGCCCAAGCGAGAAAAAGTTATGTGGACATCCAGCGAGATTTGCAAGCGGCCTGGCGCATAAGGCCTGATCTAGGCCAATTGATTCCTGGCAGCAGGTTAACTAGTTGACCATCTCCAACACAAGCACCTAGCACGGCACCGGCCTTCTCCTGATCTGTGGCAACGCGGCAGATGCACTCTTCAAAGCAGAGCAAAATTCCCACCGCATCAGTTTGAATTTGGTCATGTCCAGGAAGCCGCAACAATCTGGGAATCAAATCTGGGATTCCCTTCGGAGTTTTCTGGTTTGCATTTGCCATCAAGCAAGACAGCGCAGGCAACTAGCTACGGAATCTGGCATCTGCCTACTCTAGATTTCCTGAGCCTAGAAAAGCATCGTGAAACACCCAATCACACAACTGTGAGTCCCGAGAATCATCACAATACCACAAAGCAAGAGAGCTGCACGTCGACAGCCCCAAGCAAGCCACACCTGATTTCTTTGGAGCGATCTATGTGTATCGTATGAGGCCTCTGTCTGTCTCAGAGAAAGAAGCATGACAAAACACGACAGGACACAAAAAAAGAAAGCACGGGTAGACGAGTAGCCCTGGCTGCAAAAAAACAGATTTGTACTGTCTCCTTCAGCATATAGCGGACACTGGCGGGCATGCTCGAATCTTGCGCCGCTATTTCAGGTCCGTCCAACTTGACTTGTCGCTTGAAAGCGCATGTCCGGTGTCTGGTGCACGAAGGACCGCAGCACAAAGCGCCACTTAGTGTATGAGCAACGCCCGATTCCTTCGAAGGGGCGCAGGGTGAACAACCGTGCCTCTGGCACAACTTGAAAAGCTCCTCCGAATTCCCCATATCCTAAGAAAACTACAGCTGAGGTCCCTGAGTGCGGGCCCTCAGTGTGCGCTGGGCGCACTGCCCCTTGTTGAGGCATGTTGAAAACATGCATCCCAGTGAGTCTCCGCTGCGGCTTTGATGCGCCAGTTTTGTGTCAGTAGGACGGTTGCAATGGAGACCATTGGAAAGAATTGGGCCAAGGCAGAGTTCTTGACTCTCCAGAAAATGGCCAGTCTGTGCATATGTACTGTGAACGCGGTATTCGCGAGCAAATTACAGTTTTACAGTGAGCTTTGCGGGTAGTCATCTAGGCTGCCTCAACTTCCCTGACTTGCACAACGGGTCACGAAAGAACCACCACCCACCACCAACCCGAACAACTACCCGGCTGGCTGTGCACCTTTGGGATCACCTCCTTAGTTGAGGCGCTGATGCAGGCCGGCTCAGACTTGGATGCGGCACCTCGGTTTTCATCAGCAGCACATGGAAATGGCAGATGATCGCTTCCCCGTGTGGAAGCCGCATCTTAGGCGGCAGCAACTCGACCGGCGAAGTCAAAGTAGATGCTCCTCGGTTTCCACCGCAGCTGATGGTGCTGTCAGCAGTCTGGAAGAACCGAGCGTTATCTGGGTGGCGCGCGGAGGCGGCTGCACAGTCTTCTTGCTTTCGTCTGCCGGAGCCTCCGATGCAAACAAATCTCCCACGGCGCAAGCTGGCAAATCACGCAACCGCCGAGCTTCTGACCATGAAAGGGTCCACGACCTCAAGGAGCGGTGAAGAGCCGTCTCTAGCAGCTAAACCCACGTCATGGTGTCATGGTGGAGATGCAAAGCTCGAGTGGGCGCAAGCATAAGGTCGTGACGGAACAAAAGCGCAAGTAGTTGAATCCCATGTCGTCGCCTGGAACTTTCGCAGAAGGATTGCATAAATGCAAACGATCCAACATAGCTCTTTAAGCATTGCTCCGACTGAATATAGCGTACAGCTAGTGCCGCGGTGTGCCGACTCCAGACCGCACAGTGCCCAAAAGCCCAACGTGACTTTGCGACTGCAGAGACAGCTGGGGCGAGCTCTGAAGGCACCACAAAGCAAGTCAACTTCCAGATCCTCGGCGGAGTCTGGCTGCCGACAGAGACCCAGCTCTCAGATGTGACGAATCTACCTGTCGTAGGCATGCGAACCGCACCGGCTACGACTGTGGCAATGGAGTCTTTTCAAGCCAGGCGTCCGTCAGCGGGAATCCCAGCATGTGCATCACTCGAAGTAAAGCACTTCGGCCTTGGTCGTGGCAGTTGCCGTCTTGCCAGCCAGCACATTTATGAGAAGCTGTCAACAAGACTGCTGGCACGGGCATGGCGTCAGCCTCTCAACATGGCAGAGAAGGGCCCACGCGGACACGGCCAGCGACACTGCCACTGCTCCTGCCATGTGAATTCTCAAGGCTTTACACCCATGTCCTCTTGTGAAACGCTGGTACTGTTCCGGCCGTATTCAGTCACGACATGTGTACGTTTTTGAGAAACAAATTCCCAAGCTTCCGCAATCTTCTGGCAGAAAGCACCCTTGGGCCTGTCAGCGAATGCACTGAGGAGTTCCAACCTTCTCGTCCTCGGGACGGCGAGGCGGAGGGTGAGGGAGGTCTGCTCAACATCAGTGACAAGTTGCAAAGATGTTATGCGGCTCCCAGTGCATCTCTCCGTCCAGACAGGCATTGACACCGCTACTGCTTGTCAACCAAAACAAAGCTACCCCAAGCATTTGAGTTCAATCGTTTGCCGTCGACGGCCGATCAGTCGACACGTGGAGGTGAGGGTACCGAACCACGGAGGGTACCGAACCACTGAACGTGTCGACAGTTGACGGCCAGCAGCAACAAATAGAGTCAGCATGCCGAAGTGCGCCCACGAAGGTCACACGAAACTAGAACCGAAAATCACGCAAATGCTCAACTTTGTCCGCCACTCAGAAAATCATCCACCACCCGCACACCTCACTAGCTCCTCCTGGTGGGCTTCTTGGCTGAGGGCCGGGCCGGGCCTTTGCTTTGATGGTGCTGATGAGCTTCGTCAAGGGGGCGCTGCTTTTAGCCCTCGGAAGGCTTTGGAAAGTCTGCCTTTTCTGAATGAAAACGGCCCCCGCCTGCTGCTGTCGCTCTTCGGCTTGGGGGCCTGCTGTAGGCGCTTTGCGGCACAGTACTGCGCCGCCATCCGTGGCCGCTTGCAGATTCACAAGTTGACACAAAGAGAAAGCAAGCGGGCCTCCTTCAAGGACACGTCAGCACAGAAGTCTCTGTACCGAAAGTATGTCTTGGGATCGTCTTTGCTGTCGCCTGTTGCTGACAGAGCTGCCAAGAATTATCAAATGCGAAGCTGTAAACTCAAACAAACCCTCAGCCGTCGCTGCTCGGCCTGGGCCAGTGGCGCTGTATGTTTCTTCGAGCACTTGCAGCCTCAGGGGCCACTGCAGGAAGGATTCGACCCTACCCCACTTTACAGTGGAGTTCCGAATGATGCTTCTCCTCTTAACCAATTCCAGCTTCGACAGGGCTAGCCATTTAGGTATGTACATGTAAGATTTAGTACCACTTCTGCGACACACACGTGCTTCAAGTATCTTAGAGTCTCTGGATGTAACAGGTTGTCTTTCGGAGATGGTTGTATCATCGTGTATCGAATTATCGATTAAGACCGGCGCAGCAAATGCTCAGGGATCTCTGCTTTTGAAGCAGGCAAATCCTCTGGAACTAGGCGCAAAGGGCGGTATCGGCAGCCGTTCGGCTCGAGTTGACCATGTGGCCTTTGAATTTGTACCTGCTAAAAATCTTTTTTAATGCCATTAGCCACAGGAAGGCCATCGGATTTAGCACTTGCATCGGGTTGAGCGGTTGCGTTGCACTGCAAGCCACATCAAGACCCAGGCTCTGCAGCGAGCAGGTCCAGCCCGGCAATTGCTAGCCTCGGTGATCTAAGCTAGAAGCACTAGCTTGTGAAGACACTTGAGGTGGAGAACGGTCGCATGTTTTTGCTGCAGGCTTGCAAGGACGCCTGGTAGTCATGTTAATTTTGGAGATGAAGCTATCCAAAGCATGCTCGGCTTTGAACAAGACCCCATTGTCGCATTGAAGTCGTCACCACTGCTCATTGTCTTATGACACGGCGAAAATATGTTTACCGCGCATTGAGGCACTTGCGCAGAACGCATTTGGCAGCAGGGCACAACCTTCAGACACCAGCTGCTCAACGGTGAACCAACGGACAAGCTGACAAAGACCTCGAGTTTGCAACTGCTCATTCTCAGCCGCTTGCACCCCTGCGCAAGCGGTCAAAGTCGCGGAACACTTCCTTCAGCCTGCAAGCGGCTAAACTGTCTCTTTGGGAGGGGGGGTGAAAGGCGCAGACTCTCTCAGACCAGGTACAAGATCATAGTTAGCTTGATCGCTGCGTGCGATCGGGTCTTCCGCTCCCCGAGGGCTAACAGCGCCGCCGAGGCAGAGGAGGATTCAATGTTTGCCATGAGTCAATTACATGCTGAGGACTTCCAAAAAAGACATCTGCAGTCGGCTAACAAGTGCAGTGCCTCAGGCTACAAAGAAGGTGCAAAATTTGGGCTTTTGCTTACTGTTCCCCGCTCTCTCTCTACAATGCTCGAGGGAAGGTGCAGGTCTAGCCTTCCCGCCACTTTGCACGTGCACACCTCTCTCCCTCTCTCTCAGCTCCGATCCAGGTTCAGTAAATGCTGAATCCCATGTGCTGAGCCAGCGCCAAGCCGAGCTCCTTCCTTCAAAGTGTCCGGCGGTGAAGGAACGGAAGGGTAGTACATCGCTGCCGCGCGATCAGCAGAAGTAAAACTCGCGCTGGTTGACGATGCTTGAATTTGAAGTGGTAATTCCAGCTTTCAGACAGGGAACACACCAAAATGCGCATGATCTCGTGAATGAAGAACTGCCGCCCTTCAGAATGCGAAAACGCAAGCCTGAAACAGCGCTTCTTCGACAGCGCTCCAATCTTTGTCAAGACCTGACTGGGCTGAAGCTACAAATGCAAGGAAAAGAGGGAGAAACGAAGGACCTATGTACCAATCTTTCACTGGTTCTGACACAACATGCTGAGTGCACCACTTCCTGGCAGGAGATGTCAGCCTCGATTATCACCGAGCATGCCAGGAACGCAAGGCACTCGAGTGCGGCGGTTTCCTGGAAACCCTGACTTTGCGCTCGTCAAGACTTTTCAGGTATGCTTTGCGGCGTCCTCGAGTCAGCCGTTCAGATTCACAATGGTGCTCGCTGCACTGATCAAGTTGCATCCCTGACTCTGCTCTGTTGAGCCGCACTTGAGGCCTCCGGGGGCCCAGGGCTGGAGTATGAAACGTCGCCTGATCTGATGTGGGCCTTCGTAGCCGGAAGCCCCATCCGACATACACTCGGACCACTCGTTCCACTCTCCCAACAAACAATCTCGCATTGCTCCAG